CTTTGCACTTTGAAGGAACAAAGAACTTCTTATAAGATACATTTAAATTTTCTAATTGATGTTTAAATGTCAAAATACTACTAAACATTTAATATCTTTGAGAAGGGTACGGTACAGCTTTTGTGGAGGAAACTGGCCTGAGTAACTTCAGTTTTGTGTGGGTTCAGTTTTATGCAATTAAGTTTCACTTCCTGAAAATAGATTATTTTTTTTTACTCATGATGAAGAAACTGTGTCAGTTTATATCATAGCAATTTTCAGGCTACCTAATTTAATTAACATTTCCAGCCTGACCTCACCTGGCATTTTATGCAAATTATCAGATTGTCCAGGAATGTCATTGCTATATATAAACCTAAGTCCTCTCTGCACACAAAATTTCCATGTAAATTAAAAAAAAATTTCCCTATGTAGTACATTCTTTTTTACATTATATTTTATTGATCATGCTATTGTAGGTGTCACAATTTCCCCCTTTGCAGCCCTCCTTCCATAACCTCCCACTCCCTCAGGCAATGCCCACACCATTGTCCATGTCCATGGGTCCTGCATATAAGTTCTTTGGCTCCTCCATTTCCTACACTGTACTTTACACCCCCATGGCTCTTCTGTAACTACCTGTTTGTACTTCTTAATCCTCTCACCTCTTCACCCATTCCCCCACACTCCCCTCCTATTCAGCAACCATCAAAACGCTCTCCATATCCCTAATTCTGTCTCTGTTCTTGTTTGCGTGATTCATTTTTTTAAACTTCAATTGTTGATAGATATATATTTATTGCCATTTTATTGTTCATAATTTTGATCCTCTTTTTCTTAAATAAGCCCCTTTAACATTTCATATAATAATAGTTTGATGATGATGGACTTTCCTTGTTTTTTCTTGCCTTGGGAAGTACTTTATCTGCCCTTCAATTCTAAATGATAGCTTTGCTGGGTAGAGCAGTCTTGGCTGTAGGTCCTTGTTTTTCATGACTTTGAATATTTCTTGCCAATCCCTTCTAGTCTGAAAAGTTTCTTTTGAGAAATCAGCTCACAGTTTTATTGGAACTCCCTAAGTGGAGCTGCTTTGACTCCTAGTCTTCGTAGTGTGGCCTAATGTAGCAAATGTCTTGTAGGGTCCAGTGGCACAGCCTCCCCTATCACCCAAGATGGGTACTAGAGATGTGTCCCTTGTGTGGGTTGAGTACACCCTCCTCTCATAGTTGAGACTTGGTTGCTGTTGGCAGATCAATGGAAAAGATTTACCCAGGCCAGTCAGCTGTAAGAACTGGTTGTAACCACTGACCACTAACCTCTGCCCTCTGTGTGGGGACAGGTTGGTGGTGTTCTGACATGGTCTGTAGCTGTCCACTGGTGCATAGAGTCTGGGGTTTCCTGGGTGGTGCAGGTCAAGGTCAGCCCTGACCTGTGTTTTGCCTAGGGCTACTGCACATGAGCTATAAAGCAATCTGAGATGGCTACTACTTGTGCTAGGCTTGGAGATTCCCAGGAAAAGCCAAGCTGTAAATCTATCCTGGCTGCTCTAGTGCCAGGCCTGGAGCTTATTGAGGCCAGCTGTTGCTTGTTTGAGAGGATTTAGGAAGTTGTGAAGCATGAATCAAGACCAGCCATTCATATAGAAAAGCAACTTGAATGGGCCCAGAAGTTGGGTGGGACAGAGTCTTAGGGGATCTCCAGGGCGGGGCAAACAGTGTTAGCCAGGTTGATTGAGTCTCAGATGTGGTACCACACAGCTGGCTCTGTGGCTCTGTTGGGGAGACTGTTTAGAAAAGGGACAATGGCCTCTGCCTGCCTTTCTGTCTTGGAGAAAGCTGTCCCCCTGCTCTTGCCTTGATGGCAGACACTTGAGTGCCTTTCAGTCTGCTACCCTGGTGATGGAGCTCAGAGCAGTGAGTCTGCATAAGTCTGTATGTGGGTTATTTAAGAGGAATTGCTGGGTACTCTTATCTGTTTCTTTCACAACTCAATCCCCATTGGTTTTTGCAGCCAGAAGTTATAGGGACTTATCTCCCTGGCACTGGAACCTTGGGCTGGAAGGCCTGGTGTGCGGCTGGGACTCCTTGCTCCTGGGGTATCCTTCTTGAATTTTTATCCACCAGACGTGGATGTGGGATCAGCCTGTTCCCTCCTACAAGTCTGGATGGATGTGGTTTCTTTAATTCCATAGTAGTCAGACTTTCATTCAACTCAATTTCTGATGGTTCTGAGTGATGGTTCTTCTGTATTTTAGTTGTAATTTTGATGTGGTTGTGCAAGGAGGCAAACCATGTTTACCTATGCCACCATCTTGACTGGAAGTTCTATGTCAGTTTGTATGTATTTTACTCTATTCAGCTAAGTTGCTAGCCTCAGGAGCCTTTATGATTGAATTTCACAAGAACACCAGACTGGAAATGCAAATACAGAGCTTAGGTACTTATTTATGGAACCACTATCTGCAATGTGGCAGTCAGTATTATTGAATGGTTCTTTTCATGAATTTTGAATATGCTCAATTCTGTAACACAGTATCTGTTATATATCCAGTGGTATATTAGGCTCATGTATTTCCAGATAGTTTTCAAATGCTTCATATATGGTAAAACTCTAAAGAACTTCACCAAATATCCTCCTATTCCCACCTGTTTGGAACTGCGTATTCATACCTTCAAGGGTAATTGAATCCTTCTACAGATAGATGCTAAATTAACAATCATATTATCAGGGTGATGTTTTATCTGTTTAATTTCTAAGAAGTTGTAGAAATTATTTCACAAACTGCTGCTACTCTTTCTCCTCTTTGCCTTCTTTTAAATTATTGGAAAGATATACTCCCCGGCGCCAGGCAAAGTAAAATCTGGAGAGACTTAAAAATTTTTGTTTATTCTAAACTTAGATTTCATGAGGCTTTGAGTGGGTCTAAATTTGGTGAAAACTCTTCTCTCATTCTTACCATCAGCTTAGCTTGTTTTAGAGTCATTTGGACTTGATTTTCAGAGAGAAGAACCTGACGATCAAAATTCAGCTGCACAGCTGCACAACTTGTTGCCAACCCAACACTTTACAGGGATGTGCATGTGTGTGTGCGCACATGCATGTGTCTTTACATGAGAAACAAGCTGTACTTACACCTTGTGATTATTAAATCGTGTTTTAATGCTCTCAGCCCACCTCCCGGTGCCGACTGTGGGTTTGCACTGGATGGAACAGTGGAAAATTATCAGGAAATAGGTTTCAATGTTCCAAAACTTTTTTGGAATTATTTTTTAAGGCAGCAATTTATACAAAGAGTCATTTCTTTCTATAATTTATGGGCCTAAGTTACTTTTGAAAAAATGATGACAAAAATCACTTTTTCACAGTTGCTTGCACTGAACTATGTATATAATTGTTATTCAATAAATTTTAGTAAAGAGGATGCTTAGAGAAGTGAAAGAATGAATGGATGAATGAATGATCCCATCTGTAAAGATAGTTGGAATTTTCTATAATTAGTATAGTTTTGTATTCTCTTATGCAATTAAGTATTTTCATGTTAAGAATAAAACTTTATTTAAAACTTTTAAAAGTTTATAAGTATGAAAAACATTTAAAAAATTATAATACTGACTGCTGGAATTGATTTGCTTTTCTTTATTGTCCTTGGGCATCTTTTAAGCATGTTATCTACCCCAAATGTTAGTATTTAATGATATTTGCATTAACAAGCTTCCAAAATGGCCCCCCAAATGGCCAGCAGTGATCCACACTCCCTGGTATTTACACACTTGTGCCGTTCTCTCTCACAGTGACTCTAGACTAGGCTTGTGCGGCCAATAGAGTACAGAAATGACAGGGTAGGACTCTCAAGATTGTAAAAGGCATTGGGACCTTCCCCACCCCATCTCTTGGATCACGCACACTGGGGGAACCTGGCCTCCATACTGTGAGTGCACTACAGCAGCCCCTTGGAGAGGCCATATGGGGAAGAACTGAGACACCTTGTCGACTTGCCACACTTGTGAGGAAGCCGCCTTGGAAGAACATCCTTAGGCCCCAGTCAAGCCTTCAGATGACTGTCCCCCACCCCCCACCCCACCCCCCTGCCCATCAAAACCTGACTGCAGCTGCGAAGGAGCACGAAGTGACGACTAGCAAACAGGGCTACAGGGCTCTTCTTGGATGACTTACCTAGAGTTTGTGAAGGTAATAAATCACGATTTTATGCTGTCATGCCGTTAATTTGGGGTAATTTTTATACCACGATAGTAACTAGAATAATATTCAAATGTACATGTATCCAGCAGATTTATAGATTTAATTCTGACTTTTAAGAGAATAGACATTCAATAGTGATTCTAAGATCTAAGCACATGCTTAGATCCTCCAACATTCTTCTATCAAATTTCTTTTTTTAGTAAAGTTTTTATGTTGAGTATGTTCAATTCCATTTAAGTTCCTTACTGGCTTTTTGAGCCTTTAACTGCTTTGGTGGGTCTACTTCTTACCCCTCTCTGAAGACAGACTCCTTTAATCAATGTCTGCTGGTGGCCCCTGGCTCGGTGAACTGCATCTAGTGATGAGTGAATAAGGAATCACTGAACAACCACGCTAAATGTAAAAATCAATGAAGAGACTTCGGTGCCTCACATGTGTCAGGTATTGTGTTCAATGTTTTTGCATGTTACATTCTGTGTTTCCCCTTTACCGCTCTGTGTGTGTGCGGTCTTTTTTTGTAGTACTTCTCATGCATTTGATCCTAAATCCTATGTAGTCAAGGAAAAAGAAAGGAGTCTCATGGACAAAAGGGGCTTGTTAGTATTTAGAATCTTCTTGACATGATTTTCTTTTTAAGGATGTAATCAGTTTTTGGTTTGCGGAAAGAAAATCTGAGAACTACTCATTAACCAATAGCTTCAACTTCCCCAAAAGACACAGGCTCCTGTTCTCAAAGAGCTTCATTTTTATGAGGAAACTGGCAATCAACAAAAAGAAGAAAATTACTACATCTGTGCAGAGATGCAAATTAGGATGATACGCTTGAGTCATTAGCAGGCTGCTCTGGGGGTGGATGGCCCGAGCTCTGGCCAGAGGGACAGACATGAAGAGCAGCCTCACAGGCAGAAGGGGCAGAGTGCAGGGCTACAGATGGGGCAGAGCTTGGCATATTGGGGACAAAATAAGTGTTGACGGGCAGGAGGAGAGCAAACCAGGGTGGTACAAGATGTGTTCAGAGAGACTGGCCCTTTGTACAAATGAATAAGAAATCAGAATCTTTTTCTCTAAAAGCAGTGAGAAGCCATTGAGGATTTTAAACCAGCGATTTGACTGATATTTCTGAAGTATCCTTCTGGCTCCTCTGTGGTAAGTGGGGTACCGTGGAGGCAAAAATAAAAACAGAGGTTGTTAGGAGACTAGTACAGTAGGCTAGGGAGGGATGATGGTGGCTTGACCAGGGTTGCTGTGAGAGAGGGGAAGAAAATCAGATACGTGCAAGGCCTGCTTTGGAGGCAGATCCAGAGGACCCGGCTGAGGGACTGCCTGTGGGGTCCACCGCTGCCTTCCGAACATCAGCTGTCTGGGCACTACCACTTTCTGGCCTAGAAAGCATAGTTTGTACCCTCATTTTAGTTTCTACCAGCCTTTCTCTTATTGATTCACAAAATAGAGGTCAGAAAAAATGAAAATGTTAACAATAAAAGCATGGGTTTCTGACATGTAATATCTTGAGATATGGATGGATATCTTAGTAAGCTGAAAAAGGCATGTCTTACCTTCAATTGGCTTCTCAATGAAATTTAAAGTATTCAACAGTGTAGTCAATGTTGGGGAATAAAAGAAAATGAAGAATTTGTAAAATGGATTAATGTAACTGTCTAAAAGAAAAGATACATGTTTAAACTGCTCTATCATGTTTAAGCTTACTGTTCAACTTTTGTACATTCTCGACACTATTCGTGTTTTCCCTCTCTCAACTATATATAGTCCTTTATAAATATGACTTTAATAATGACTTTAAATGAGGACTTAATTTTTTAAAGATTTTATTTATCTATTTTTAGAGGGAGAGGAGGGGGGTGGAGAAAGAGAGGGAGAGAAACATCGATGTGTGAGAGAAACATGGATTGGCTGCCTCCCAACCAGGGACCAGGCCTGCAGCCCAGGCATGTGCCCTGCCAGGGAATTACACCAGTGACCTTTTGGTTTGCAGGATGATGCCCAGTCCACTGAGCCACACCAATCAGGACTAGTAAAGACTTTGAATATTTGAGTGTCACCCAGATACATTTATGTATGTATTAAAACAGTTGAGTTCCAATTATGTGGTTGGCATTTTCTTATGTGCTTCAGTCAGTTAGACACAGTATTTGCCTTCATAGGGCTTACGATCTAGTGGGGATAAAAATCAGTAAACAGGCAACTACATTGAAAAGTGACAAGATGGGCAATCAATATTCAGGGGGTCATAGGAGCCCGCAAGTAGAAGCACTAACTAAGAAGGCAGGTGACTTGGTTGGGAGAGAAGGGTCCCCTCAGTGCAACATCATTTCTTTCTCTAACATGGTACATGGAAGAAGTTTGATAAAGAGACAGAAATTGAACTTGTTTTAAAAAATAGGCCTTGGAAAAGAAGTCCATTGTGAAAGTTAATGTGGAAGTGAAGATGAAGTAGGCTGGTATAGGGAATTAATGGCTGTTAGCCGAAAGAACAAAACAAAACAGAAATCTCTGATAGATTGAAAAGTGGTGTTTTGAGGTTCACAGTGGCTCTGCTCTGTGAGGTAACTGATTTCCCCTGTGGGTTCTGTGAGAAAACAAGTCAAAGCAGATTGTAAAACAGATTCAGAAATAGTAAAAATATACTTACTAAGTGAGAGGTATAAATCATTGTGTGTCTGAAGAGGTATATAAAAGTTCCCATGTGCTTTTGGTTTTGTTTTGTGGGAAAATAGTATATCATGGGGGAATTCACAAATTTTGACATTCATGAAAGGATCAGGCCCTCCCTGCTAAAATATAAAGGAAGGCCCCTAGCACCTTTGCAGGGACATGCTATTTTTCTCCCAGGAAACACTGTACACAGCCAGCATTTGGATTATGGGTCTCTCTTACCATCTCAGGAGTGACTTTCAAATATTTCAAATGTTATTTATACAACTAATTTAGTTTGCCCAAGTTATAATGTACACACCCAGCAGGATCTGCTCCTTAAATGACTCCCTAGTTCATCTTGGATTCCACTTAAAAATTGCCTTTCTCACCAGCTTATTAGTCAGAAATTGAGGTGCTTATGATAGATCTCATTATGCTGGCAGGAGCCTTCCATCTGGGGAGCTGAAACCCAGCTGCAGAGTCAGGACAGGGAATTCACATGCCCAGGGTCAAGACCTAATTTGGAGTCTGTCAAGGTCTGAGATCATTGTTTGTATCATGATATAAATGTAAATTTTAGGCCCGCAGGTAAAGTACTACAAAGATCATCATATTTTCTCATCTCCGTCTCCACAGAAGCTCTCACTATGCATTCTATTGCTCTCCGCCTCTCTTTTTGACTAATCAGCAAATATTTAGAAAATGTCTATCTTTATATAGTTAGTGTCTAAACTATTGGATGAGTAATTATTGAATAGGGTCTTACAGGAATCTCTGTATGAATGGGATGTTGGTATTTGATCTACCGGAAAAGGGCATGGTAAAAAAATGTTACATGAAGAACTTTTCTAAGGTTGAAAGATATTTAGCACAATGAAGACAACAGAACCGACTTTTTGGAAAGTATTTTCCTCATAAATCATTTTGTTAATGCTTTACCCATGCTAACAAAGCAACTGGAAGCGTATTTTGACTTGAAAAAGTGCCAGAGTTTGTGTAAATCCAGCTCTGTCACCGCTGATAGTAGGGCTACCGGAGGCCATTACAGCGCAGCCTCAGCCCCAGAGCAGCAGCTCCTTCGTGAGCTGTGGACTAAAACCCAGCAAACGATAAGTCAGTAGTGCATCCAGACAAGCATCACTATGTGTTTTTCTCAATGTTTTAGTGATTCTTGTTGACTTCCATTTCATTTAGGGGAGGAGAAATGGCCACAAAAACAAAACCTTCTCTTGGAGCACCAGGCTGTCCTCCCGCTGTGCGTCTGAGCATTCGTAAACATCCCCCTGCCGCTGGGCCCTTGGACGTGCTCTTCCGCACCCTGCAGCGATCCCGGGGAGAGCTGGTGCTTATCTTGCTGGCCGCTGCACAGGCAGCATTCCATGTCTTCGTTAAACTACAATTGGGTCACTTCCATTATTTTTTAAATTGTAGTATAGCTTATAAAAATGAAAGAATTTGACACAGTTTTTGTGTTCACCAAAGCTCCTCAGATTATTTCTCAAATATCGGCTGGGTAAAATCTCAACTGTATCCTGCCAAGTGCCCTACTCTCCATGACTTTCAAATCCATGCAAATTTCAGGGGAAATTTAATCCGTATGTTTCTGATTGATTCACTCTTAAGTCATCATATTGTTGTTTTCAAAAAACAATTTTATATCCAAGAAACCCTGGGGGTATTTTTTAAAATATAATCTGTTTTTAGTCAAATTTTCTCCCAATTGGAACATGGGAGTTGTTAATTTTCAAGTATGAAACATTGAACTTGAACTTATTCCCACCCCTTTTTTTAATTTTAAATTATTCTTGTAAGAGGTAAGTTCCAATCAGAATACAGAGAATGTGAAGTGACTGCACATTTCTGCCAGCAGTTGCCGTGCCAGAACTGAGGCTGACTCAGTCAGCCCGAGCCTGCCGAACAAAGCCAAGTTCACCCCTTAATCGTCCTGTGTGCTCTGAGTCTCAGGAGAATTTCCCTCTGTTGAGTCACCCATTTAAAAAGTTCAACTCATAGATCTGAATTTTGTAAAAAGCCTGAGCTGAGGCATGTCTGAGCCCTTTTGGGACGAATGAAGTGTCACACTTGGTAGCCATTATCTTTGACAGGGAGGAGTAAAGTCTGCACTCACTACAGTATAGTTTGTTTACTTTTTACACATCATTTTAGGTTCATCAAATCACATTACAGAGGACTTTAGGTTTCTCGCAAAAAAACACCAAAATACTTTGAGATGCAGGACACATTAACAAGTAAATAACAAATACACGTTTATGCATTGGCTTTTAGGGGAAGCAATCTGGTTGGCGTTTTCTCAAGGGAGTTATTTAAATTTTAAATAGAACAACATCTCATTTAGATTTCTGCAAATGTGCTAGGGCACAGAAGTAATTTATATGTGCATGAAACTCTTCACTGAAGCACCTGGGTACTTGACAATAATTAAAATACAAAGTAGCCTTATTAACTTTTCCTTTTAACTTTCTACCTTTTTGCCTCTTCACTGATAGTGTGAAGAAATTCTGGAGTAGACTGTCAAGTACCAGGGGGTCATTTCTCCTACTACTCCGATCACGCCTGACTGCAGTGTACTCTTACATCTTTTTCTGTCACATCCTTCAAAAGCTATGCTCTAATCTTCCATTGCACATTCACAGTCTATTTTCAGAAACTGTGTGTTTGTTTCTCAAACTTTCAGTCCCCTTTAATCCAACTGCCAGGGACTGAACACTTATCTCACTTTAATGCCAGCAATATGATTAAGGACACAGATGATAGAGAATATAAAAATGATGGAAATGCTGTAAATCAGAAATTTCCACAGCATAGTTTCAACAATGACCTGGGTATGGATAATTCCCATACTTACTGTCGTTGGCCCCACATCTTCATCCCTGGAGGACATAATTTGAATTAGTGGTTTTCGTCATGTGGTACCCAGAAATGCAAACACTGGGTCCACCCCAGACCTAGAGAATCAGAAACACTGTGAGTGGTCCCTGAATTCCGTGTTAACAAGCCCTTCCGGGGATTCTGATGCTTGCTGAAATTTTAACTGGCCCTGAAGCTTAATGTGTTGAATCCAACAGTTTGCTTCTTTTATTTCCTATTTTATTTTTTAAATGTTTTTTAAAAATTAAATTTACTGGGGTTGGGGGTGACAGTGGTTAATAACATTACATAAATTTCAAGTGTATAATTCTACAATAATGCATCATCTGTATAATGGTTGTGCACTCACCACCTGTAGTTTAATCTCCTTTCATCACCATACATTTGACCCCCTTTACCCTCTTCTCTCCCTTAGCCACCTTCTCCTCTGGTAACCACCATCCTGCTGTCTGTGTCTGTGAGTTTGTTTGATTGTTCTTTTGTTGCTTTCTGTTTTACATCACACATTTGAGTGAGATCATATATGGTTCTTGTCCTATTCTGCCTGAATTAGGCAGATACTCTCAAGATCCCTCATATGGTCCAAAATGGCAGGATTTCAT